AAGCGGACTTCCGGACCCCGCGGCGGCAACAAATACTATAGCGGAGTTATCGTTCTTCTAGTGCGCGTTAGAAAGGACGTAGATCGCTCGAGCTATAATAACTCGATTAAAGACATTGCTATCTATAGTAATAGCCTATATAGCGATAGCACTATAGAAGAGGTTGCAGTAGTTCCGGCTACTAGTACTATTAGATATATATAATACGTACCTCGTTTAATAGCGAGGGTACTATTAAATAACCTTACAAATAGGGATAGTTAATCGTTTATAGATAAGCTATTACGTACTTAGCAGAGGGACGCCTTTGCTATCGAGCGTATTAATAAGCTTATAAGTAGGCGGGCGACTCGATCTAGTAAGAGTAACAATAATTAGTCGATCGACGACAAAGGTTACTTAAAGTTTAAGGGCAGATATTATATCCCCGCTAAACAATCGATTAGACAAGAGCTTTTAAAGAGGCACTATAATAGTAAGCTCGCTAGTTACTATAGTATAGAGAGGTCGCACGAGTTACTATCGCGTATATACTACTAGCTAAATAGTAAGCGGCATATAAAGGAGTATATACAGACCTATATAGTATACTAGCGAGTTAAAGCACTAAAGCACTTACTATTTAGCGAGTTGTCTTCACTTCCTGTCCCTAGGAAGCCATTTGCTAAGCTTATAATAGACTTTATTATAGGCCTTCCGCCTACTAAGCGCAGGGGCAGCAAGGATATATATAATGCTATCCTAGTTGTCGTAGACCGGTTTACTAAGAGCGCTCGTTACATTCCTACTCGAAAGGATTAGACTGCTATTAATATAGCTAAAGCCCTATAGAACAACATCTTCTATAGCTATTAGGGGACCCCTAAGGGGATAGTCTCCGATAGGGGCTCGACATCCATATCGCACTATTAGAGCGAATTATGCCTATAGCTAAGACTAAAGCATCGGCTATTAACAGCCTTCTATCTATAGACTAACAGTCAAATAGAGAGGCAAAATGCTACGCTATAGCAGTACCTACGTAGCTATATTAACGAGGACCCTAATAGATAGGTTAACCTCCTATAACTAGCCGAATTCGTATATAATAATAGTGTACATTTATTAACTAAGGTCTCACTATATATAGCTATAATAGGCTAGAACGCTGCTATGCTATAAGACCCCCTACCGCTCGAGGCCGAGCGTAAGGAAAGGGAAGCGCGTTAAGTACTAACACCTAAGACACTAGCGGCTATTAAGAGGGTTTAAAAGATGCGGGAAATTCACGCTAAGTTAGCTAACAAACTAGCAAAGGCCTAGGCATATTAGAAGGCCTACTATAACAAACACTATACGCTAATAACTTTCAAGCAAGGCGATATAGTTATACTAAGCACTAAGAACCTCCGTATCCGCAAACACCTATTACCTAATAGCAAAACAAGACCTAAGCTCGCACCGAGATATATTAGCCTATTCCGCATTCGAGAAGTTAAGGGCTCTTCCGTATAGGCCTATTAGTTATAGCTTCTACCCTATTATACTATCTATAATACCTTCTATGTATCCCTCCTTAAACTATACTACTAGCGCGAAGGCGATAAAGCGCCTACCAAGTTAGAAGAAGTCTTAGCTAATAGTAAAGAGCTGTAGTCTATAGAGCGTATACTAAAGCATCGGACTAGATAAGGCAAGAAGGAGTACCTCCTAAGATAGCAAGGCTATTTACCTAAATAGGACTCGTAGGAGGCTAAAGACTCTTTTAAGGATATAACTAAGTTATTAGACGAGTATTAGACTAGTATAAAGGACAAGAAGAAGGCTAAGAGGCTATAATATTACTATCGGGGCCTAGGATTAATGCTACTCCTAGGGTGCTATTAGCTAACTAATTAGAGGTAAGCAATTGTTAGTAATAAAAGACAATAAGACTATACTACTATAGTAAATGCGCACCGAGCGTTAACAAACGCGCTATAACTGTTAACTAATCGCCTACTTTTTTAAGGAATCTACCTCTTTACTAGCGCACCCTATAAGACCCTCCTCTTAGCGCCCCTTTTATTTCTACGTCCTATCGGGGCCCTAAGGCCTAGGCGGTCGATAGAGGCGGCGCGCGCGCATAGGCGAATAGTGTTAGTAATAATAATAGTAACGACGGCGTTACGCTTATACTAAAGGGCGACACGGCTGGCGCGGCTATATTAGTAACGGTATTACGGAGTATATTATTAGTCGAAGAAGGAAATTGAAAGCAAGGTAAAGTTAGCGCTAAGACGACTAGCGCCGCTATTGTTAACATTACTTGCTATTATTACTATGCCTATAGATACAACCTTACCTATACTACGAGCCTAAGGCACCTTTAATTAAAACTTTAATTAAAACTTTAAGCCGCCTAAAAGATTAAGCGACTAATAGACTAACTAAGAGCAAAAACTATAGAGCTAAGTTAGCTAGGGTCGATCTTACGGATAATAGGTTACTTCTCGATCTTTCCGACCCTTTAAGCGAAGCGAACCTTAACTATTACACTTATAATAGCCTTTACCTATAGAAACTAGAAGAACTGAGTTTTTTAAAAAGATATAATTAGTTGACACTTAAAGGCTACTAAACCTAACTAATTAGGGCTAGTGAAACCACAACAGTAAATAATAGCTCTCGTAATAATAAGAACAATCCCTTAGAACGGACAACCCTCGGAAGCGGACATTGCTAGGTCTTTTAAGAGTAGACGCAAAGAACTTAGTACGATATTACTTAGAACGGGGGCAGGGCTACAATACCTCGTACGTCTACCTATTATAGTAGGGAAGACGCGCTCGTATTATAATTAGTCGATAGTCCTTAATTCTTATAGATATATATTACTTTATTATATATAAGGATAGCGCAGTTAGAGTTAGACATTGTATTAAAAGTAAGGTTAGACATAGTTACATAATTAGGTAGTTAAGTGTTTAATTTAGCGCGAGCTAAGCAGCTTATTAGACTTGCTAAGTTAGCGGCAATAGAGGTCGTAGAATATAGATAGGCTACGAGGGCGCGGCCTTTAGAAGGGAAGCGTATATTAGGGCTAAAGAGGCTATACGTAATTGGTATATAACTAGGCTAAGTAAAGCTAGGGTCTTAGTGCCTTAGGTAGGGCTTAGCGCTTAGTAATAGGCTAACTTGCCTACCTTCCTCCCTCTCCTTCTAGCTCCTTATCGAATACTACTCGTACCTACTACTACCCTATCTACCTGCTAATATACCCTTCTTACAGATTATAAAGCTTAGGAGATAGAGCGGCCTCGGTTTATAGCTACGTAGAAGGGCTTAGTAATATAGCTAATATTAGATATAGAAAGGCGGCGATAGAATAGCGATAGTAAGGTAGAAAATAGCTATCTAGCGGTAGAGGACATAATTAACAAATTTGCCTTAGGCCTCCTCCGCAATCGGACGACTGATTTATAAATAGCCGGAGCTAATTTACGAATAGTCGCGCCCTGTCCCGAAGCAATGTCGAATGGACCCAATTTAGAGAAATGCCCGTTCTACATTTGCTAGGTTTCCTACAGTCTCCTTTCCTCCAAACCAAGCCAAAGCGGTGGGTCTGTAAAAGACGTCTTCCTCTTTACACGGCCGTTGACTTTTCATCTCATCGAGTAGATAATGTTTCCTCCACAGAATCGCTAATCTCGTGCCATCGGTATCCTCAGGCAACCACATTTGCGTCATGACCCTCATCCTTGGCTTGATGGCTTCGAGTATCTCTTTCCGAGGAAAATATCTTCCCTCTCCGTCCTTTTGTGACAGTCGCAGCTCGTAGCTGGACCAGAAGTACCTGAGGTGGTTGATTACGCTCTGCTCCACATTTCTCGATGTAATTTGTCTTTTCTCAACGGCCAGTTTTTCGGCAATGATTTTCGCCGAGGTCGGGTTGATACGAGGAAATTGATCCATGACCAACGTGTGAGCATGCTGTCGTATTTTCCGATCGTGAAAGTGAAGGCTATGCCAGCCATCGAACGTGGAGCGGTATGAAATTGCTTCCGAGTAAATGTGGGATGGAACTAGGTAGCCAAGAAAGCGATACGTCCAGCGGTCCTGCAACGCGGATCTGTTAGCAGAACGAATCAACTCCGAAGGGCTGTCAAGCGAGAACTCACCCAGACTTCGTAAAGTACACGACCTTTTGCCAAAGTCATCTCGCGAGCGTACTGCACTACAAATAACGCCTCCCCAGCATCAACATGCTTGTAACCCTCAGGAACACGTATGTCCGAAAACACACGAACAACGACAGAATACTCATCTTCCGTCGCCAACGTGTCAAGGTCGCGCACTGTAGAAGCCGTGGTATTGGACCCTGAATCAAGCGACTGAAGGCTAGAATGTAGTCCCTGCTGAAACCGATTGTATCGCCAACCTTGGAACTTCATATCTGCCACAGCTCCCTCAACGCCTCTATGCCATTGCATGTCGCTTTGCCTCTGGGGAAGGTTCGATGATCGAAAATCGTTGTTTGATTGAGTGTAGAGGCGTCGAGGTAGGGTATGAGAAGCAGCCTCAAGGCGTGGAGAGAAGTGAGAGGCTGCTCGTTGTCCTAACAAGCGCTGCACGCCAGGCCGGGTGAGGATCAAGCATGGCTCTTTGAGGCATTTGTCCGGATTCGGACAATGGCCAGCCGCTCATTGGGCAAGATTCTTGTGCAGTGCGCTTCTTTGTTGTAACATTGGTATGCATCGCTGAAAGACCGCCATGCTTGTTGTACTGAGGTCTGAGGTGGCGTGGAACCAGTTCATAGCTTTTTAGTCCCCTTCCTTGAGCCTATCGCCAATCTATACAGATCAATACAGAAGCCATTTCTTGAAGTTGTGCACCTGATTTTCCTATCCAAAATGGGATACGAATGACAGTGGAACGATACCTCGGATGGCACAGCAAGGAAGGACTCTGCTGCTGCGAAAAACCTCGAGATGGGCGGAATTTGAAAATGCCACACAGGGGCGCGCTTTCAGGCGGCGCTTTCAGGTAGCCATTTGTGTTAGCTGAATGTCATCATCAATGAATGACTCGAGCTGGGTTGCCGTGAAGCCAAGGTCTGTTGAACAGTAAAGTGAAGATGCCGGCAGGAAGCGTCCGTGAATCGCTCTCTGTTGTTCCACAGGAGTCAACGTCTTGCGCGGCACAGCCACGGTTGCTGCATGCCAGACGTGTTTCCTCTGCTGACTGACGGGTACGGCTGGCGGTGCCATGACATGCTGCATCTTGAGCACGGGAAGGGGCAGTGGAACAGTGGCCGACTTTGGTGGGTCCAGAGCTTCCAAGTCGTCGACCGTCAAGTCGAGACTGCCAGAGCTGAAAGAGCCACTCCTAGCGTTCGATTTTGGCTCTGGCAATACGCTTTGCGTGTCATGATCGTCCAATTCCCTCGCAATCTGCGTGCTGCTGTCAAGTTCATCGAAGAAGTCCTGCATGTCGAGATGCGCGCGAGCGTCGAGGAAGCGATCCGGCTGGGCCTGGTCGCATTTCGCGGGCAAAGGAGGGGGTGGCATGAGCGATGTTGCTGTCTTTGAGGTATCGGCACCTCCCGTCAAGGGACGAGGCGCTTGCATTTGCAATATTGCTGGAGCGCTGAGAGCCTCGAGCAGACTATCGTCATCCAGATCTTCGTCTTCAAAGACATCGTCATCTGACTCTGTCAATGGTTTTATTTCGCCCTGCTGGTGCATTTCAGCCTGATTCGCCGCTGGTTTTGTGCCGAAGAAGGCGCCCAGGTGGAATTGACTACTCTTGTATCCAAAGCGGTCGCATCGCCGCTGGCTTCCCAATTGAGCAGAGTTGGCCTGACCAAGCTTCTCTCGACTCTCCCGCGCTGCTCTCCTCTTTGTGGCCTCATTCCGCCGCTTTTCCGCTTCCTTGATCTTCTCGGCGCGCTGCTCGAGCTCAATCGACCGTTCCAGCTGCCTCCGCTCCTTTTTCGTGAGCGATGGTCGGCCTCGAGCGTTGAACGCAGCTTTTGCCTGCCTGGTCGTCTGCTTGAGCACGGGAGGCATCTTTCACTCGCCGATTAAATGATTAGACGGACCTCCAACATCAACTCTCCGCGCCATTTCCACGTCTAGTTATTTACGCGAATGCGACGATTGGTCGAGGTAGCAGGAACTTTCTGACGCACGCGACTGTCGTGGGGCAAGGGCGAGGGTCGGTCGCGCGCGTGTGACACTGTGGCTACTGTCTGTGCTGAAAACCTTGGGAATTTTGAGCCTCATCCTCGAGAAGCGTCTTAGGTATATTAAGTCGATAGGTAGGCGCGTAAGGGACCGCTACTATAGTATCTATACCTCGTTAGTAAAGCGCGTCTTCTATCTCGTAGACCTTAAATACGCGGCCTATTAGGAAACGCTCTAGAAGCGTAAACGGACACAGTTTATAATATACAAGTATTAAATACTCGGCTATATTCTCGAATCGAGGAAGCTATATATATAGTATACCTACCTACGGTAGGATCGTCTACCTAAGGTAGGACCGGGTCGTAACAATCTCTCCTTTAAAGGGAAAGATATATACGCCCTCGTATACCTCTATATACGACCTATTCGTTATAAATACTATCTATATCTCTATCTTAGTCTATTCTTGTTTTTTAAATCTTTAATAATCGTATCGATTATAGGAGATCGTACCGATCTATTACTATACTAGTACAATTACGTAAATCCGATACTAGTTATATAGATTTAATACTAATCGCGTAGATTCGATACTAATTACTAAAGGACGGAAACTAATATAACGCTAGGTACGCGAGTAAATCGTAGTAGGATAGTACTAGTATAAACTATATAAAGGTAGGCGAGGAAGGGCTTAGTCGTATAGGCTAGATCGATCTAAACTAGCTAGTAAACTACTAAGAAGTCGACGTCTAGCTTACAATCGAGAGTAAGGAGCGGTACTATATTCTTATTAGCGGCGTAGGTACTAACTAGGAATCGTCTACTAGTAGTTAACTAGGCGTATTATACTACGTTCTTAGCCGTAGTCGTAGCTTTAGTATCGGCTAGCTAGTTAGGAGTATATAATTAGGAGGTATAGCCTTCGCTACGTAAAGTATATACTCTACGAATATAGATATAGCGCTAAACGTAGTCGGTTAAGTCCTAAGTTACTACTAGTCGACCTAGGTTATAGTAGTAAGGGTATAGAAGGCCGCTAGAGTTAAAAGTAGATATGTGCTACTTATAAAGCTACGTCTTCGTCTACGCGCCTAATTCTATACCTAAGATTAGAAGCTAGATCGTATAGTCCTCTAGCTACGAATCTTTTAGTAGTAGACGTAATATAGAAATACTACCTATTATAGCTATCTAGAGAAAGTATACTCTAGCGTAGGCTATTAAATCTATTTCCTTATGCTTCGTAACGGCGACGTACTTATTCTTAGGACGCTACCCGGTATTTCGTATCTAGATACTATAATCGGGGTAGGAATCGTCCTATCTCTAGAAACCGCGATAGTATAGGACTAGGTAACCTCCTACTATAATGCTATTACGAATCTATTCTAGTACGAAACGGGCAAACTGCTCGCGCGCGAGTTAAACTATAGGCTATAAGGTAAGGGCAATATAGACTACTAGGCCTATCGCTCTATTTCGAGTAGAAGAGGGAAGTAACTAGAAGCGTAGATCGCCTTAATAATTGTCGAGTCTATAGAAGCTTTTACGAGAGCGGACGGGGTTTACTAGTAGCGGACGGGAGAGATACTATAGTCTAGCGTAGAAGTACGTAATAACCTCTAAGAATCCGTCGGCGATACTAGAAAGGTCTAGAATATCTCTAAGCTCGCTAGATTATAGTAGTACGGCCTCTTTATAAGCGCGGATCTAAAGGATCTCTATAGCTACGTTAAAGTCGCCTATATAGAGATCTATACGAAAAATAGAGAAGTCGAGCGCGAAGGCGTTATCGAGGATATAGAATAAGTAGGGCTAGTTAAAATACAGATTCTCGAAGTCGTAAGTAGCCCGGCCGGTATATTAGTATAATTTGCGAGGGATCTAAAAGCGACGATCTCCTATAGTAAGGCGCAAATAGTATAGATAGTTATAGAATCGTACGTAGTAGTATTCTATTAGGAGGGGATTAGTATCGAGTCGGAATAGCGGAGGAAGGTCGCCGTCCGAGTCTATTATATACGCTTAATAGTAACGCTTTACTATCTACGTAAACTTAGGATCGCTAGTATACTATCGTACTATAGGATTAGCGGCAATAAGCGCGTCTACCTTTTCTAGATACGCGTCGTTCTCTTATAGCTAGCGTAGCGCGCCTTACTTAACTATCTCGTATAGTTATAATAGACCTCTAATAATTAAGTCCTAATAGCTACGCTAGCTACGGAGGCGCTACGTATTAAATTTAACTTAGTCTAAGGAGAGCGGTCGGCGATCTTACGATAGCGACGTAATTGCGGCTACGCGCGCCTTACTATAGGGCGCCGACTATAGCGAAGAAGATAAGGGGAGTTGCGGCGGGTCTATAGGTAGCGACTAATAGGGGTTAGGATACAAGTCGTTTTAATCTTATTATATCGGTAGAGACGGATTCTACGTTACGCGCGGTAGCGGAGGTAGCGGTTATATTAACGCGGTTATTACGCCTAAACACTTTTCCTTAGTAACGGCGTTGCCCGGTTCGTTACCTAATTATTCGGCTAGCTAGATAGCAAGCCGATCTAGCAGACTATATAGTCGCGCGTAGTTCGGTATTACCTTCTATAGCGTCTTATTATCCGGCACTAGCGTAGATCTAGCGTCTACCTTCTATATAAAGCTAAATAGGCGATCGCGTCTATATTCGCCGCTATCTAATATCGGCTATATAATCGCCTTAACTAGGTCGCTTCCTAACAATTCGCTATTACCTAATAGCGCTTCTACTAATTTATTGCCTAACCTCCTCCTAGCCGTAAGGGCCTAGACTGCCTTAGCGAACGTAGACTTATTTAATATATAGGAAGGGTTTACCGCAGTAATAATAGCCGGTATATAATCCTTAAGCGTAGCGAGTTCCGCTCTTAGCGATAGTAGTGTGTATAGGTTAGGGAGGACTATCTATAGGTTAGCGATAACCTTACGCTAGTATAGGTTAAACGCCTTGCTATCTTTGCCCTAGGTCGGCTTTAACTATATAGCCGGAACTTCCTTAATCTTATTATTATCCGTAGAAGCCTCGTCGTCCGAAACCGGTAGTAGAGCCGTCGCGTCTTCCGGTATAGGAATATCCTTAATAAACTATATCGTAATCTTACCCTTACTAGCGAAACGGAGAGTCTATAACTAGATCTCGTCCTAGCCCTTACCTACGAGCGTATAGTACTCCTCCTACTTACCTAATTCTAAAAGAACCGGTACCGCTATAACGTAACCGAGGCCCTGTACTATCTTTAAAGTAGAAACTACTTCGTTAAGCGAAATAGGCTCCTAGGGAGGTAGAATCGGTAGCGCTTTTACGCAAATAGTAGATAGCGTACCTCTAGCCGACGCGACTACTATAAAGCCCTTTAGTATATAAAGCGGGTCGATTACTACTATCTTACCCTTACTATCTCGCGGCTTTAGAGAAGGATCGTTACTATCTAGTCCCTCGTCTATCTCTTACTATAATATATTACTTCCTACTTTAAAAGGACCGCTACTATTTCCTTCCTTGCCCTTAATCGGCTTATATAATTACTCTATCTCTACTCGTAGCCTCTCCGTCTCTTCCTCGGTCGGTTAATAGAACTGTCTTATCTACTCCCGAAACTACTCTAATATAGTCGGCTTTCCCGCTACTAGATTACTACTATCTATAGCTATTTCCGGTACTATAGCGTACTCGCCTTTATAGTCCGGCTACTCTAGGTCTAGCGTTATAAATAGGCTCTCTTCTACTGTCGGATCGCCGTTATTTATAGGCATGCCTAGTACTACGTCGGCTATAATATATATATATAGAATAGATATTAGGAATATATCGCCTAATTGCCTATAGAAAATTGCTATACGTAGTTTAGAAAGCATTACTAGGGAAACGAAGCTTCGATAAGAATAGCGCGGAATCTATAGGATAACGGTTACGACTTCTATAGAGTCGTATCGCCGCGAAGGCGCTCGGACTATCGCGGCTAAACTTCGTTTAAAAAAGGCTATCGGCTAGTCGTTTTTCTAACGACCTTCCTTATATATCTTTATAATAGGTATTTATTAAGGGGATGCGTTTTATTATACGCTATTACTAGGTCGGTCGCCGCTCCTAGGTCGTCTACGTCGTACTATATATTATAAGCTATACCGTAGCCTAGCTACTTTACTAGGTACTATGTTACTAGCTTGCTACGACGGAGTATTATATATCTATTAAGAATCCTTTTAATCTCGAAAGAATCGCCCTCGTTTTAGTTCCCTAAGGCCTTATCTACTATAATAGGTAGAGGCTTATAATTAGCGACGCGACCGAAGGGATCTAGCCCGGCTAGCGCCTTTTCGAGATATAAGATAGAGATAACTAGATAGATTCTTATTACTAGTAGTAGTTCGAGGCGATATACTAGGCGGCCGACTCGCTCGAGGACCTTAAACGGACCCTCCTAGCGATAACCGAACTTATATAATTAACCTAGAACCTTGTATCCGGATTAGCCCTTTCCCGAGGATAGCTTAAGTATAACCCTATCGCCTAGCCGTAGTATTAGTAGTTTATACTTAGAGTCGTAGCGTTCCTTTATCTTAACTACTACCTAAGTAATAGCGTCGTCTACTTCTTTCTAGATTCGTCCGCGTTCCGCCGCTAGCTCGTAGGGATAGTTATCGAGATATACTAGTATATCGAGATTAGTCCGCGTATCTATTACAATCTCGTTTAGAGCCTAGCCTATTATAGCGCTACGGGAATTGTTTAGCGTTACTTAAAGAAGAGGAATATACTTCGTCTAATCGCCGCCTAGATATTCCGCAAGCTAGTAATAGAGTGCTATCTCTATAGTCTAGTTCGTTCGTTCCGACTAGCT